TGGGGGGGGGGAGGGGAAACAGCAGGAGGCGGGGCTGATGTGCAGTGTGCTGAAATACTCCCACAGACACAAGCAGCCAGCCTTCACAACAGACTGAAGCAAATATATATGAAACCACAGGGACTTAACACAACTTACTTGTCCTATCTGAGGAGGAAACCTTTTATTATCCTAGATTATTCTTTTGTGTTTTGTTTATTTTACACTTAAGAACATGATTATTTATAATGACCATTTGAAATGTCATCTACTTATTGTGTTAACTGTAAAATGTTATTGAAAGCATGTTTTTTCATTAAAAAGCTACTGTAAATTAATGTAAAATTACATTAAAACTCTTTAAAAACACTAAATATATATTAAAGCAACTGCAAAATGTTATTCAAAAGCATGTGTTTTTTATATATATATATATAGTTAATAATTTTCAGAAGTCCACTTTTATGAAATCTGTAAAAATGATACAAAACATAAGTGGCAATGTTGTAACATTATCAAAGTCATATTTTATATTTGTTTTATTATTTTGTAAGTTTAAAAATTGTTTTTTTATAAAAATAAAAATATATGAGCATTGGTTAAAAATGATCTGTTTTTCTGTAATGTCATGAAACATTAAAAACAGGAGAGACGCATCTGACATGCCGTTACAATCACTCTGACGATCCATTAGAATTTTGTGTATGAAATTCTACTTCGTTAAATCATTCGAACATTTGAGAGCAAGTGCTGGACTGTTTCAAGTCGTGAGTCAAAGACTGGACACTCAGAAGCAGAAAATCGCTGTCTGTCTTTGGGGCGCAAAGCTTTATAATCACCAGAGTCTCGGTGTTGCTCAAGCCTTGAAGAATGCAGAGAATGCAGATATAGCGTTTCACAGTCGCTCACGCTCCTCTGCTACTGTATCGCAGTTTATAAGCAGAGAATCAGAAGAGAGCCATAGCGAAAGCACACGCATGACAAGTGGCCAGTTTGAACAGCTGCCTGAGTGTCACAAATCCACAACACACACACACGGCGGCTGAAGCATGCTGGGTAACAGATATGCATTGCAAAAACAAAAATCATTCTGATGTTAGGTGAGCTGATTTGTGTACTTTTATTGGTCGACATATGCCTTTGATCCCACATGACTCCTGAACCCCGCCCTGCTCTATTCAGCGGCTCACGTTTCCATAATCAATACTAAGACATCACACGAGCCCTATTGATCATCACAGGCCTCAAAACTCAAACCCTACATACTCAGTGAGAAACCAGAGTCTGAATGCTCATGTATAAAAGGACAGACAAAATTAGTGTAAATCAAATGCATATGTCGTCCCTGAATACTGTTAGAAAAGAGACATAACCTCTGTGTTCCTTGAAGCTGTAATAAATATCCTCATTTCTTTGATAGCAGTTCAATATACGGATGCCTGTAAATGTGCACACGCAGTTCACATAACAAGCCAATATCACAACACAAAGCTCTGACATGAGCATAAAAATACTTGTGCTTTTTAAACTATAGCATCATCGTCATCAGCGTGTGGCTGATACGGAGTAGATGATTGATGTCTCTGGGGTTCAGGGACATACAGTAATTTAATTGAAAAACATGGAATTAAAGGTCATTCATCCACGAACCTAATCCATATGATTTGCGTACAATCCCTTTGGAATGCTTATTAAGGTCTGGTCTTATGTTACACAGGATTTGATATCAAACGCTGATATTGTGCTTGTGTTAAATGATGAGATATCTCTAGATTTAATTTAGCCGCACACACACGTCATGTGCAAACTGCACTTGATAATGCACAAATTAATTTAAATCAAATTCTATTAAAAAAATAAAAAAATCAGTCCAAGTAAGCTTGATATTTAGAGCTGAAATAAGTTGTTCAGTGTATTTTCAGTGTCTATTTATTATAAAAGACTTTATGTACAAGCAAGTATTTTAGTTATAGTTCAGTTACTGTTCTCATTCTCATTTTGAACTCGGTTTGTCATATTAAATTCACCACAATAAAATCAGTAAATGCAGTAAAGCACATCATGTGTGTGTGTATTGTGTTTCAGGGAGTGAATAGTCTCTATTATACAGTATATGAAGTGCTCAGCAAAAAGCCAAGCTGCTTTATTGATCATAGAGTTTGTATCACTGTTAACTACTATTTATTCCTAACAGACAGATTTTTCTCTCAAAGATGTTTGAACTTGTCTGATTGCACACGTTTATCCAGTTATCCAGTGTTGGGGGTAACGCATTACAAGTAACGTGAGTTACGCAATCAGATTACTTTTTTTCAAGTAACTAGTAAAGTAACGCATTGCTTTTTAATTTACAAGAAAACATCTGAGTTACTTTTTCAAATAAGTAATGCAAGTTACTTTTTTCCCCCCATTTATTGATTGCAAGCTCTCCTGTCCCCGTGTTGCGAGAAATCGGGAGTACGATGTTACTTCAGTTCTAGAATAAATGTGATGAAATCTGTAAAAATGATACAAAACATAAGTGGCAATGTTGTAACATTATCAAAGTCATATTTTATATTTGTTTTATTATTTTGTAAGTTTAAAAATTGTTTTTTTATAAAAATAAAAATATATGAGCATTGGTTAAAAATGATCTGTTTTTCTGTAATGTCATGAAACATTAAAAACAGGAGAGACGCATCTGACATGCCGTTACAATCACTCTGACGATCCATTAGAATTTTGTGTATGAAATTCTACTTCGTTAAATCATTCGAACATTTGAGAGCAAGTGCTGGACTGTTTCAAGTCGTGAGTCAAAGACTGGACACTCAGAAGCAGAAAATCGCTGTCTGTCTTTGGGGCGCAAAGCTTTATAATCACCAGAGTCTCGGTGTTGCTCAAGCCTTGAAGAATGCAGAGAATGCAGATATAGCGTTTCACAGTCGCTCACGCTCCTCTGCTACTGTATCGCAGTTTATAAGCAGAGAATCAGAAGAGAGCCATAGCGAAAGCACACGCATGACAAGTGGCCAGTTTGAACAGCTGCCTGAGTGTCACAAATCCACAACACACACACACGGCGGCTGAAGCATGCTGGGTAACAGATATGCATTGCAAAAACAAAAATCATTCTGATGTTAGGTGAGCTGATTTGTGTACTTTTATTGGTCGACATATGCCTTTGATCCCACATGACTCCTGAACCCCGCCCTGCTCTATTCAGCGGCTCACGTTTCCATAATCAATACTAAGACATCACACGAGCCCTATTGATCATCACAGGCCTCAAAACTCAAACCCTACATACTCAGTGAGAAACCAGAGTCTGAATGCTCATGTATAAAAGGACAGACAAAATTAGTGTAAATCAAATGCATATGTCGTCCCTGAATACTGTTAGAAAAGAGACATAACCTCTGTGTTCCTTGAAGCTGTAATAAATATCCTCATTTCTTTGATAGCAGTTCAATATACGGATGCCTGTAAATGTGCACATGCAGTTCACATAACAAGCCAATATCACAACACAAAGCTCTGACATGAGCATAAAAATACTTGTGCTTTTTAAACTATAGCATCATCGTCATCAGCGTGTGGCTGATACGGAGTAGATGATTGATGTCTCTGGGGTTCAGGGACATACAGTAATTTAATTGAAAAACATGGAATTAAAGGTCATTCATCCACGAACCTAATCCATATGATTTGCGTACAATCCCTTTGGAATGCTTATTAAGGTCTGGTCTTATGTTACACAGGATTTGATATCAAACGCTGATATTGTGCTTGTGTTAAATGATGAGATATCTCTAGATTTAATTTAGCCGCACACACACGTCATGTGCAAACTGCACTTGATAATGCACAAATTAATTTAAATCAAATTCTATTAAAAAAATAAAAAAATCAGTCCAAGTAAGCTTGATATTTAGAGCTGAAATAAGTTGTTCAGTGTATTTTCAGTGTCTATTTATTATAAAAGACTTTATGTACAAGCAAGTATTTTAGTTATAGTTCAGTTACTGTTCTCATTCTCATTTTGAACTCGGTTTGTCATATTAAATTCACCACAATAAAATCAGTAAATGCAGTAAAGCACATCATGTGTGTGTGTATTGTGTTTCAGGGAGTGAATAGTCTCTATTATACAGTATATGAAGTGCTCAGCAAAAAGCCAAGCTGCTTTATTGATCATAGAGTTTGTATCACTGTTAACTACTATTTATTCCTAACAGACAGATTTTTCTCTCAAAGATGTTTGAACTTGTCTGATTGCACACGTTTATCCAGTTATCCAGTGTTGGGGGTAACGCATTACAAGTAACGTGAGTTACGCAATCAGATTACTTTTTTTCAAGTAACTAGTAAAGTAACGCATTGCTTTTTAATTTACAAGAAAACATCTGAGTTACTTTTTCAAATAAGTAATGCAAGTTACTTTTTTCCCCCCATTTATTGATTGCAAGCTCTCCTGTCCCCGTGTTGCGAGAAATCGGGAGTACGATGTTACTTCAGTTCTAGAATAAATGTGAACATGCATTAATTCATCTCACTCACACACAAAAAAAATCTGATTTAGTTTTCCTCAAAATTAATAAAAACAGTTAAACGCAACTCAGAATATGGCTCAAAGCTGCAATAATTAAATGTGCTAAATAATACAAATATCCTTTATCTATTTAATCCCATTTATTTGCTGCTGACCTTCAGTGATCCAATTCAACCGTACTAATAAGCAAAAATTACACAAGATAAACTAACATTTCTTCTTCTTCTTCTTTTATTGCTGAAGAGTGTTGAACTTTCTTCTTCTGTGTTCTACTGTACAGACGTGAATTTGCATTTCCTTCAGCCTGAGGCTTTTGGTGTGAAAGGGCTTTTATATTTGCCAAAAATATAACTTTTTATATTAAAAGCAAACAAGCAAGCCCA